ATCATGTTTTTCTTTCGTTACATTTTTTGCACTTTAAGAATCCAGGTTGTATACCGGGTGACCCAAACGTCGGGTGGTTTAATTTTTAAAAATCGGTGGATTCCTTTTTAATGATTCGTTTTTTTTGCACATCATTAATAAGTTTCTGCAATTGAATTTTTGGATATCTTAAAGTGTTAATTTGCAATCAAACTTGTTATTTTTTTAGTTTTTATAAAATAAACCAGGTGAATCACTTGAGCGACTTTAAGGTAGAAAAAGCAACGCTCGGATTATAATAATTGAACTAACTCAAGAATGATTGAAGCTATCACACAAACAATTAGCTAAATATCAATAAATCTGCTAAAAACGAATAGAGCAAAACACGCTTTTAAATTTCGGGAAAAGGCGCAACTTGCAACTAAACTAACTTTCACAATTTGATTGATGTATTCTGTATTAAAAATCCGCAAAAATTTCCTGCTGTTTTCCATGAAAATTCGCTTACTTAGAAAGAAATTCTTACCGTCCGTTGAGTATATTCATACCCATCAGGGTTCATATTAGGGGCAATAACCCAATCAACGTTCTGATAAAGGGCAGCATTTGAACTATTCTGAACAAGCTGATAGAGAATATACAGGGCCACTGTTGGAGCTATCCATTCTCTACAGTGGATTCCTGCATCGATCAGAATTGTTGGCTTCGCCACCGCTGTTTCACTTTCTCCGCTTGATATTCTAGAAAATTACTTTATTCAAACCGTTTTTTGAGGTTTTTCTTAGACTCACTTTAAGGCCAGTATGTCTCTGCCTTCATATGATTGCCCGATCAGTTCCAAAGTGGTTATATCCGGGTAATCAGTAGCCAATCTTCGAACATATGCCATTTGCTATAGAAAATTTAAAAAAATCGAATATTTCCTATGTTATTGGCCTGGAAACCTGTTTACCTCGTTATAGAGCATAAAACTGCTGAATGTAACATCGCCTATAGAAAGCCCTGATCTGGTTAAAGATCTTTCGATTTTTTCCTGCCGAAGAACTCTAAACAAAAAAAACACGAGTTAAGTTAGAGCGGAAACACGCACTTTTGTGTCATGTATATTGCAGAAAAGTTGAATGACTAAACTTTTGAAACAAAGGAAGTTAAAAGCAATTGTAGATAAAAAAAAATTATAAACCAAAAACGAATTTTCTGGTGCAATTTTCAAAAACAAATCAGTAAATCTGAAAAGCAACGAGTTGTAATTTTTATCTGTTTACGAATAAAACTAGTTCAGGTCTTTCATTTGGTTCGATGATACAAATAATCAGACAAACCTTTTTTAATTAGAATTGTTGTAAAACACACAAAAAAGCCAGTTTTTAACTATAAAAACTGCTACTAAGCAGAACTTCGAGTGGATAACAATTGACAGAAAACCTTATTTTGAGGCAAAAAGATCTTGAAAAAAATTTGATTATTTTCTTGCGTTCTTTGCTTCGCTAACTTCTAAAAAATGCAGTTCACAAGTTTTATTTTTTGGTTCAATTAAGATMGGTTAATAGGGAGAAGCATTTTTTTTTGCAATTTGAAATGCCCACAATGAATTCACTATATTTTCAAAACCCTGCACCGAAGAAAATGGTAGTTAGCACTCAAAAACTATTTTTTCTTAAGTAATACTTACTCCTCCACATCTTCAGCCACCACAGCGTAGCCGAGACCATTCCTTGAAAGATTTTCTTCAAAACCCCCTTGATCTTCGGGTGCTACCATTATTTGACTGGGTTTACCAACAATTCTGCCTTCCCTCCAGAAATCGTACTTGGGATCTTCTGATAACGTGTGCACAATATCTGTTTGCTTTTTCGTCATTGGAACCACCTCATAAACCTTGTATCTGAAAATTTAAACTTTGAGTTGAAATTAAAGAAATTCAGATGTGTAAWGTTTATCAAGAGTGAGCTTTTACTTAAAACTGTTGGATTTTTTCCAATTTGCTGATATTTTTACTGTTTGAATTTACAAATATTTTTTTTTGCAAAATATTCACAATAGAAGCAGGAATAAACGCCTTTTGAARATSTTGACCTTAAAATTAAAATAAGGCAGTTTTTTGAACTGTAGTAAAATCTTAATTTGATGACTTTTATTTCAAATTTTCAATGTGTCTAAAGAAGTGAAGAATCGCKTTTCCTCAAATAAATGAAAAACTAAAACTGGTATCGAAGGATTTACAGCGACATTTTATTAGCCTTTCAATTGCCGAACTTAACTTCTAACTTCCATAAACCATCTTTGTAAAATTTCCGATTAGAAAAAAAGGGGGAGTTTTTCGGGATTTCACTCAAGCTTAGGAAGCTCAACAGTTTCATCTTTAGAAGGTTTTTTTCGGGATTTTAAGCTGAAATTCTCGGAGTTTTTTTTGTTTCTTACCCATGGTAATTAGTGGCGATTATCGCGCTCAACTGCAACAGCACAACGAAGCAAATTATATCTAGTTTACTGCACTTCATTTCTTCAATCAGCTTAAACTGTGCTAAACAATGATTTCAGGCTGCAATAATAACCGAATCCTGTTATCTTCTTATATGGCGTCTTGGAGCTTTAGATTGAAAAATTCCTTTATAGCCAAATATAATGATGGGGAATAAAACGATTAATCAATTTATTAGAACATTAGTTTAATGCGTGTTTAATATAATTGTGAAATATGGATCAATCAATGGATTTCAGGGTTTGCGTCGTCAACTTCAACATCTTGATTGGTCCAGAAATTTTCCTCGATGTACGCGTGGAAGGCTTTCACTCCTTCGAAAGTCTCGCGTACTGCTGGCAAGATTTGTCTGGCAGGAATCATGAAGAAGAACGGGGCATCTGAAAATCAAGTTATTCTTTTAAGCCCTAAACTAGTTAAATTAGTACCTACTAACCGCCATCAGGTAGTTCCACGCAATAGGAGAGATCCACTTTTCCTTCAGCTTTTACCCAATCGTCGCTTCCTCCAGCCGCTTCGTAAAGAAGAATAGCTGAACTGTTGACTCTGTATTGGGAATTGATGGTACTGGCTTGATCAATAGCTGTAGCCGCCAGCTGACCCACATAATGTAAGTCTTCGTGATTTTCCGGCAGTTCCGGTGCATATCTACAGGGTGAGCAAATAGTTGGTGATTAAGCTAGCTGAATTTCGTAGGCAGTACCCCCAAGGATAGAGCATCATTTCCCCATAGCTATGGAAGGAGAGGTACAGTTGCAGGTTCTCGCCATTGGCCAGAACCCAATCTCGGATGGCTTGTGATTCTGGTTCGGAAAATGCTTCTGGCCCGGCGTAAATTTCTGAGCAGGAGTCCTGAGAGGCTCCTGCATGCATCCAGTAGTATCCAAAGTTGCGGTTCAAGTCTGTGCCTATACACTGCGCTCCTTCAGTTAAGCGCCGATTTTTCCTCCACAGGCGATTCTAAACAAGAGGATTTTTTAACACATTTGTGGCTTAACCGACGATATTTGCCCCATTTAAGACTAAAACTTGGGGAAGTTGTTTTGGTCGAGAACTTTCAATTCTAGTTGATTTTTTTGCTGAAAATAGTCTTACGTTGCTTTGTGTAAATTCGTATCCATCGGGGTTCAAATTAGGCACAATGTACCAGTCTACATTCGCATACATATGGGCATTGGCACTGTTTTGAACCAATTGTTGAATGATATACAGGGCGACCGGTGGCGCAATCCACTCCCTGCAGTGAATTCCTGCATCAATTAGAATCCCCGGTTTTGGCGTCGAGGTTTCACTTGGACCACTGGATATTCTAAATAGCAAACCCCCAATCTGAATAATCGCAAATTGTTCCTAATAGAGTGTTACTTGCTTCAGCATCAGAATATCTCGACCTTCGTAAGACTCGCCTATTTTCTCTACAGTGGCTATGTTGGGGTAGTCGGCGGCCAATCGTCGCAGGTAGGCCATATGCTGGAAAATCACCATTTTCGATGAGAAACTTAAAATTTTCGAAAAATGACCTGGATTACCTCACTGTGGCGCATGAAGCTGGAAAATGTGACCTGTCCGGGAGCAAGCATTGTTCGCGTCATTGATCGTTCAATTTTCTCTTGTTGAATTAGTCTGAAATGCACAGGAATTATCGCAAAGATTTGAAATAATTAAATTAATTAATTGATTTAAATTATCGTTAGACATACGTCCAAATTATCATGGCTGCCGAGTTTCCATTCGTTAACAGCTCGTTACTCGTGTGGCTCCGTCGAAACAGTGTCAAAACTTTTTCCGCTTTGGGGCGGAAAATTGCTGTTTTTTCGGAAAAGGAAGTTCCCGTCCCCCATTCTGTGGGATTTTCTGGGTCGCCAGTGCATTTTTTTTAGCAAAAGACGAAAATTCGTTAAATGGAACTTTCTGACGTTTGCTGTCAAACGCTGCGCAATGATTGAAATGTGTCTACTCAAGCTAATGCTGAACGCTTTTGACATTAAAAGAGTGCCAGAAACTGTAAAATTATTTGGAAACGAGAAATGAACAATTCAAAGGTAAGTAAGTGCGACTTTCCTTAAACATTAATCCTTAAAACCCCATAAATATGGTTTTCCGCATAATATTCTGTTTTTGTATTTTTATACCTTTCAACGTTGTCAATTACAATGCTGTAATCAAAAAGGTTTCTGGTCAGGTTTCTTTCAAAGGCCGGTTGGTCTTCAGGTGCCACCATAATATCGCTGGGGTCTCCAAGGAGATGACTTTCCTCCCAAAAGTCGAATTTCTCCTCATAGTGATACGCATTGAGAATTTTCGCTTGTTCTAGAGTGTTTGGAGTTACGTGGTAGACTTTATAGCTAGAAAAAATCATGTTAAAAGTGCGGAGTTAACAGGGAAAAAGTTATATTTGATAAACCCGTTTTTCCAAGCTTAGATTTTTAAAATTCTGAAGAGTTTTCGATATTTTTTAAATTGGCTTTATGGTGTCTACTGCATTTCAAGTATTAGTTCAAAAAGTCCTTTACAAGAGTAAGAAACTTATCATTTAGTGGAAGCTCTTGTAGCTTTAAATTGTATACTTTATACTCGTTCTGCTTTGAATCTCTGCCGTGAAATGCAAGCGGCGTTAAACAAATAAAAAATAATAATAAAAAATAAAACGTATCCAAAAACTTTGTGGTTGTTAGTAAGCAATAAAAGAACTTTGGGCTAAATTAATTAAAATTGAATAATTACATTCAGGTCATTTTTCGTTGCCAATTCTTGTCAAACTTACCCCTCGAAACTTGTACCTTCACATGCTTTTAGGGCGAACAGAGCAATAAGCAGCAGTAGCAGTGGCATGATGCTTAATCGCTCTTTATTACACTTTCTTAGCGTATTATTTGGTAAAATTAGCAACTGAAATGATCGTCTTATCTCGATTTTATGACGAATTAGCTTTATGGGTGTTCATAAACCATTTCTCCAAAGCAGCTGTATATTGGAATAAGCTCTATTGTAAATCAACCAAATGAAATTCTTGGCTTTGAATGGATGATGAATTGTTTTTCACATTATACAATTGCTTTATTTTATTCTACAGTCGTTTCTTTAGCTCGATCCCCCTTTATTCAGAATATGCTCAGGCTCAGAGTTTGTTCGCTCTATGATAGTTCATACAATATGTATATGTCCGGATTTCTACTGCTGTCATTGTGTCTCCACATTTTTCTTTTCTGACTCATTTCCTCGTTTAAGTTCTTTGATTTCATTGTATCATCCCCGCCATTCCTCCAGCTCTTAGCATTTTTCTGGCTCTATGTTGTCCCATTCTTTTTGTGTGTCCGAACCAACTAATTATTTCTTTTCGACCTCATCCAAAAGGTGTTTAAAATGTTGAGTCCACTGTGAGTGTGTTATAGATTGAGACTAGTTCCTTGTTCGCACTGCTTTTATTGTTTTCCTAGCTACTGAACGACGTGTTCAAATCATTGGCTCTTCAGTACTTTTGCTTTTACCTTTCTGTTTGCTTGCGTATTTTCTCTACTTGGGCTAAGTTAAGTTTAATTCGAGTCCCCCGATTATTCACTTCACTATAGGCGACTTCACAAAATTCACAAATTTATTTGTAATGCATGTCTGTTGACTTTGTTCTTCTTGCAAAATGCAGGCGTCTTGATTCACTTTATTGCTAAGCCAATCCCTTTATATCTATATGCTTGAAGCAGCATTGACTTCGGTTCTTAACATATTACTTTTGAAATTTGCATCTTCAGTTAGTTGAAAAAAATATTCACTCCTTAGAGCAGACAGGTGCACATTTTCAATTACTTTAATAAAATCCTGACTACATGCATGTGATTGAAAGTCCCTTAGTTACTGATTTACGTTTATTTCAAGCCTGAAAAGACACTCAAACAATATCATCCATGGTATCTTAAAAACAGTTACACTGGGAAGCTCCTCAGTACGTCGCTTACAAAGGAATCCTCACTTAGATCTAGCTCGCGCAGTATGCCAGTAGTTGTTGTTGTGGTAGAAGTAGTCGTAGGAGAAGTGGAAGAAGTACCTTCAGTTGACGAGGTGCTTGCAGACGAAGTACTACTTTCAGGCTCATCTACCGAAGAAACTGTGGTCGTTGTGGTTGAAGTCGTGGTTGTTATGCCGGCAACAAACTTTTCTTCTACATATTCGTACAATGCTCTAATGCCAGCCCACGTTTCTTCAACTACTGGGCGAATTTGTCGGGCAGGAAGCATGAACCACCAGGGAGCATCTGAATAGGCAAGAAGAAGTGAAACTATAGCCTAAAAAATTGCCGCTTTTATACCTCCGTTGGGTAATTCGAAGATGTAGCTGAGATCGACTCCCGCCTCTGCCTTGACCCAATCAGTGGTAACACCGGCAGCTACATAGAGACCAATAGCTGAATTATTAACGGTGTACTCAGAGCCGATTACACTGGCTGCTTCAATCGCTTGCACTGATCGCAGCCCAACCGCATAGAGTTCTTCAGTGTTATCGGGAAGCAATGGCGCATAGCTAAATAATTCAGGAATGATTGGTTGGATCATCAGTAGCTGGAGCCGTTACTTACGACCATGGATAGAGCAACAGCTCACCGAAACTATGGAACGAGACGTAGAGTTTAATGTTGTCCTTGTGGTCCAAGATAAAGTCTCTCATCGCTCGCGCTTCCGGCTCAGAAAATTCAGAAGGGCCGGCGAAAGTTTCTGAACAAGGGTTGCTTGATGCTCCTCCTACCATCCATTGGTAGCCAAAGTTTCTGTTCAGATCAGTGCCGTAACATTCAGCCCCGTCAGTTAGACGGCGATTTTTTCTCCATAAACGATTCTGAAACAAAGCGTCCGGGTTGGTTGGTCACAAGAACAGAAAAGGAATTTGGATCAGTGTAAAAACAGGCTTTTGTTTCCTTTCTGAGTCGTGTGTTTTTGATAATGAATTTAATTTTTGTTTGCGGACAAATGAATCTACTCACAACAGTGGTAGTGTATTGGTATCCATCTGGATTCAAGTTGGGAACAATGTACCAATCAACGTTTGCGTATAGAGCGGCATTGGCAGTGTTTTCCACCAATTGTTGGATGGCATATAAAGCCACTGGCGGTGCGATCCATTCCCTGCAATGGATACCTGCGTCGATGAAAATTGCTGGTTTCGGTGAACTTGTTCCGCTGGACCCACTGGATAATCTGAAAAGTTTTCATGGTTTAAAAGTGTTTGATCCAGACTTGGATTCTTTACTTTAATATTAATATATCGCGGCCTTCATGCGATTGCCCGATGGATTCCACTGTTACGTTGTTCGGGTAGTCTTGGGCTAGGCGTCGAAGATAAGCCATTTGCTGGAAATTAGGGATGTTTAGGTTTCGAGTTGGAAACTTGTGGTTTTCCTACCTCTTCCAGCAGCATGTAGTTGGTGAAAGTGACCGATCCAGGCCCCAGAGCAGATCTGGCCATGCTGCGCTCAAACTTTTCTTGTTGCAAAATGCTAAAACATCATATTATCTTTTAATGTTGTAAATAGTTGGTTGGATAAAGTGCTTGAGTTTATCGATCAATAAGCAACGGGAGAAAATTAAGCACAATTTTTTCTTCGTGCAAGAAATTGACCGATGAATATTTTAATCTCTTTGCAATTTCTCAATTACCTTTCGACATCTTCAACTACCACCTGGTATTTCATTCCGCGATTGGCCAGCTTTTGCTCAAACTCTTGCTGATCCTCCGGAGCAACCATAATGTCGGTGGGTTCTCCCAGTCGCTGCCCTTCCCTCCAAAAATCGAATTTTTCATTGCTGAACGCGTGCAAGTACTCGGCGTCTTCTAGAGATTCTGGAGTGATTTCATAGAGTTTGTATCTGTAAACGTTTATGGATCACCAGCCGTTCTTGTCATCTTCTAGATAATAAAAGTGCGATTGATTAATGACGCAACTATTTTACGGACTTTTATGGCCACATTAAGACCAGACGATCAGATTAATTGAATTATGACGCTTTAAGGGCTTGAATTTGAACATTTTTTCAATTCTTCTAGCGAATGATCTTCATGTCGATGGATTACGAGCACTTTTTTCGGGGTCTTCAGATTAATCGGTCAATGTGCTTGGAAAGTGCTGACTGCTCTGAAAGTTTGAACATTTCTGACTAGGTTTTTTCCTGGAAAACTGGGCCAATTTAAAAAAAACAGTTTTTTTGTAAAAAAACTCAATTTTTCAGTTGATATATTTAGTTCATAAACGATAAACATTAACGATAGTTGGATGATTTTATTGAAATGTTCTCATACCTATTGTAAATATATATTTAAAAATGGTTAAATTAACATCGCAGAATAAGCATTATTCAATGTAAATATAAGTGGTTTTTAATAGTCCATTAGGCACTTACCCCCTGTGGCTAAAGCCGTTGCAACCGTTCAAGATTAAGCTGAAAACAAGGAAAATGTTTGTGATCGCAAACGCACTCATCTTGCCGCCGGTATCAGTTCAACATGGCCCCATTAGATCCTTCTAGGCCCTATTTATGACCTCTTTTATCTGCTAATTTTCCTAAATCCACATTTAATTCGCCGTAAATTTCTAAAACCTTGTATACACAATAAGGATGGAATTCAATTCAGTTGTCATTGCGTTTATAAATTTGATCCGATTAGGTATATTTGATGTCTTGACCCGTGGAATGTTCTTATTCATTTCACTTTATTGTTTTAAATTTGTTATATATCGAGATGGAAAATTGTAACAAATTGTATGCGCCTCAAGTGTGTAAAATTATCCATTAAATTTTACCAATTTTGCACAGTTCAATCAACATTTGGCAAAACAACTACTTCAAAATGAAACTTTTACCGAATGCAAACCAATCCTTTCTGGAATGATTTAAAATCAAATTTCTGCTTTTGACTGATTTAAAAACAATTAAATTTTAAATCAACAGAAAGTATCTTAGTTTATTTTTCAAAATTTCTATTGCAAAGACAAACATTATACAGGCACTAATTTGAAATAATTAAAATGTAATTAGTACAGGAAATACTTCTTGTAGAACAATAAAAAGTAAAATGAGAAAAATTGCTTATATTATACATCAGAGTGGATTAGTTGAAACAATAATGTTTAGCGCGTTTGCAAGATAAACATTTAATATGCCTGGATAAGATCCGAAAGCTTAAAAGCGGTTTAAATTTAACTTAATAAGCTTTTATTAATCATCACAATAAATTAAGAGCAACCTCGAAGATTCTAGCGCTAATAATTGTTATCTTCCAGAAAAGAATCCGCTTATTATCAGCTTACAAAATACCGAGTGTCTTAAAATTGCTTCAAGTTCAAATTTGAAGCACTTTTTAATGAAAGCATATTTTTCTAAAATACAGATGTTGATTTATTAATTTTTATTGAAATATTTACATTGCCTTGATCAACTCTACAATTGCAAAACAATTAGATTTCTTTTTTTATATTCGAAATGGTCTTGATTCATTATTTGAAAATACAACCACTTAATTTAAATATTGAAAATACTAATTAACACGTCACACATTAATATGGTCCAATTCGATCTTTCGCTTTTGGTTGACAATATATTCTGTGGCACCCAAGCGGTGCCTCTTCCTTCTTCATAGAGGTCAACTGAGTTCAACTTAACCTCAACCTTCAGGATAGCAGAACTTGTCTTATATGTTAAAACATAAATACGCTCATTTCTCAGAATTTCCAAACTCTGGTATTTTGTGGCTCAATGTGATCTAGCTCGAATAATAAAATGAGTGAGCAAGCTATAAATGAGCTGGAGGCGGCTGCCCAAATAATAATGGTAATTAATATCGGATTAAGGTGCAAAGAAGGAATGCATAAACAATGGACTTTATT